GCTGGGAACGAACAGCTTCCCATTCTGAAGCTGTTGAACAGGGGTGTGTGTGTGTGTGTGTGTGTGTGTGTGTGTGTGTGTGTGTGTGTGTGTGTGTGTGTCAGGAGCTGCTAGGAGCTTTGCCCGGTGAACGTCGTGCCCAAGAAGGAAGTCCACACAGGACAGCAGAGGCCAAGGTCCTGACGACGTTGTCTGGGCTGTGCCAAGGACAGACCCACCTCTGCTCTCTATGATGGCAGAAGCCAATAAATTCCTGCCCTCCCCCTCCCCTTGTGCTTGTCTCCAGAACACGAGTTGAGTTCCTGTTCTTTGAAGAAAAGATCTTTCAAAGTCTCCCCCAACACACACAGACACACACCAGTGTAAATCATTGTTAATGGCTAAGTCTCCCTGGCCTCGGTCCCCATGCTTAGGTAGACATGCTGGGCATTTTTAAATAAAAATCGACACCATTGGCCACTCCTTCATTCAGGATGTGCTGCCTCGGTTGTGTTGTGAAAGCTCCCTCTCCCAGTCCCGGATCACGCCCCCACTCCCCACCCCTCCAGCGCCCCCTCCATCTGTAGTCCTGGTCAGCTCAGTTTCCTTCACTGGCTCCTTGTGTCTGCAGGTAACAGACACCCACTGTACCATCAGAAGCAAACAAGAAAGGATGTACTGGAAAAATATTGAGGAGCTCGATCAGAGGGTGGACTGGGAGGCTGGAACACTCGAGAACAGGCTGGACTTGGCTTGGCTCTACTCCAAAGGCCCCTCTGTCCCAGGATATGATGATGGTCAATGTCCAAGCCTAGGTTGGTCCCCTGAGTTCAGACCCCATAGTTGCCCCTCCAACTCCGGCATGGGAGAGAAGGTCATATGACTTTTCAGGCCATGAGATAAAGAGGCAGCAATCCCCAAAGTGACACCGAGGACAGGAAGTCACAAAATGAGGATGGCTGTCTTCCTGGATCCTCAAGGTTGTAGTCTAGGCTTTTCCCTTCCTTCCTAGCACTCAGGTCTCCCTGTTCATCTCCATACCGGGTAGAGCCGCCTACATTTCCCAGTACCGATCTCCAGCCCGGAACTGTCCCTGAGTCCAGTCCCTTCCATTCATGAGGCTTACAGACCTCTAACTCTGGGTACTTTACCTCGTCCCGCTCACAAAATCTCTCCTTTTATTTTCTTGAGATAGTCTCGTGACCCCAGAAACTGGGGGCCATTATGCCATTCTATATGTCCTGCCTGTCTGAGGGCTTTTTCCTCATCTCTATCACCCCAGTTCTCACAGCTGACTCTCTTTGGCATAGACGCCCAGCCATTGTCCCTTCTCCAGTAATAATGTATCTGCTGATTCTAACTAGAGCAATGGCTGTCCAGAAAAAAAGACACATTTGTCAAAACTACCCTAGATCTGCTGTTTACGACAAACACACAAACAAAAATTCCTTCTGTAGCTAGGTGAGGTCATGTGACCAATCTCCAGGCAATGATGTGTAAGCAGACATGGTATCCTCTACCCACAAATATACATCCTTAAGGCAAATGCCCTTCTCTCTCCCCCTTTCTCCTTCCCACTGACTGGACTGTAGTGTGATGGCCGGAGGTGGAAAAGCCGTTTTGGACTATGATGTAGACGCTGAGTACTTGGCGATAGGAGTCTCTTGCTCACAGCTGAACCTAATCCTGACCCACAGCCTCCGCTTTAAACGCCACTTCCTCAGGGAAGTCTTCCCAGATAACACAGATTCCCACATGTCCAACAGGGAGTCTCTCACTGGGAACTAAGCCATTTTTTATGTAATAATTATTTTTTTTTAATAATTTCCTTTTTTTACTCAACTTGAACACAATGTCCAAGAAGGAAGAACTGAGTCTGCTTCACGTCACTGACTCCTCGTTGCCTGGAACAGCCCCTCAACAAACCTTAGTGATTAATGAGTGTGTGAATAAACAAACTGTACATCTTTTTATTCCATTTTATTTTATGTTATTACATTATGGAAAAGGGCTTCCTGGATCCCAGGCTGGCCTCAAACTCACTCTGTAGCCAAAGATAACCGTGAACTTCTGATCCTCCTGAGCGCTGGTATTGCATGTTTGAACTGCCATGCCTGGATCACGTGGGGCTAGAAAGTGAACGTAGGGCTTCACGCCTGCTAAACAAACCCTGCCAGCTTGAGCTACACCCCCAGCCTTGAACTTCAAATTTCAAATGCAATTCCTACATCCTCCATTGCCCAGATCAAGTCCCTGCAGCAACTGTTACATAGATGAGCTCAACCACACCCACCTTCCACAGTGTCTCCCCTTGCAACTCACCCCTGCGTGTGGAGGCATACCCACCAGTACCTCATTCCTCACCCCTGCGTGTGGAGGCATACCCACCAGTACCTCACTCCTCACCCCTGCATATGGAGGCATATCCACCAGTACCTCACTCCTCACCCCTGCATATGGAGGCATATCCACCAGTACCTCACTCCTCACCCCTGCATATGAAGGCATACCCACCAGTACCTCACTCCTCACCCCTGCATATGGAGGCATACCTACCAGTACCTCACTCCTCACCCCTGCATATGGAGGCATACCCACCAGTACCTCACTCCTCACCCCTGCACATGGAGCCATATCCACCAATACTCCATTCCTCACCCCTGTATGTGGAGCCATATCCACCAGCACCCACCCCAGCATCTGTGATTCTGCACACTGTGTAGAGTCCGAAAACTCTGTGATCAGGAGCTGGCAAGACGGCTCAGCAGTTAAGAACACTTGCTGTTCTTGCAGAGGACCCGAGTTCGGTTCCCAGCAGCCACACTGGGCAGTTTACAGACATCTGTAACTCCAACTCCAGTGCACCCAGTGCCCTCCTCTGGCCTCTGAGGGTGCCTGCACTCGTGGGTGCAAACACAGACACACACACATAATTAAAAATAAAGTCCTTTGAGCCGGTGAGATGCCTTAGCAGAAAACAATACTTGCCGCTCTTGCAGAGGACACACATAAAATAAATCTGAAGGTTTTATCCTTTGGACTATTTTGTATTTGTTTATGTGTATGACTGTTTTGCCTGCATGTCCTGCACTGGCTGCTTGCCTGGTGTCCATGGAGATCAGAAGAGGGACCACATCTTCTGGAAGTAAGTTACAGACGGTTTGTGAGCCACCATGTGGGTGCTGGGAACAGAACCTGGGTCCTCTGAGAGAGCAACAAGTGCTCTTAACCACCCAGCCATCTCTCCAGCTCCCCAAATACAGTCTTCTAAAAGACTACTCTGGGATCACTTGCTTCCCACAGCCAAGCCAGGAGCAATGGGTCTCAGAGTCTCACCCCATCCCCCGAGAAGTGGCTCCCAGGAGACATGGTCCCCACCATCCCATTCGGGTGGTCAGCCAGCCACAGGTGTCCCAGAGCAGATTCACCCTCCCAGGCCCGGCTCTTCCACTTCCCACCAGCTGCCTTCTCTAGTGGCCACATGCTGAGACTTCCCTTGTCTGTTCCCCCACCTTTGGGGACCTCCAAAGCAATAAGATGGGGGGGGATAACAAATGGTGGGGATAGTCTCCACCAGACTGTGAGTGCATTAGTGCAGGATTAGCATTATGTACCCCTGGGCTCTCCCACATTGCAGGGCCCAGCTCATGGTAGGCCCTTAAGAGTAGTGCACACTGCATAAAAGAAAGACTATCTGGGATGTGGCTTTGGGAGAGGGAAAGGACTCTGTTTGAATGACAATTTGAGGTGTTTGCTGTCCCCTGGGTGCTCTGAGGGGGTAGGAGGGCAGTCTCCTCCATGTCCGGAGGAGGTTGTGTGTCCAGTCAGGCAGGGCTTGGAAGTGCAGCATTACTGGGGACTTGAGACCTTCTTCTCCTGGCCTCCATGCCTGGGTGACTGTGATTGGCTATTGTCTCAGATGGATACTTAAGCTGTTCCTCCGATAGAGTACAAAGAGACAGCAGTTATGGAGCCATTGGAAACAGTCCAGACATGCCAGGGTCTTCCAGGCCATTGTCTCCGACCCCCTCACCCTCCTTCCCAGGGGGAACCTTTGTCCTCTGGAAGAACAGCAAGTGCTCTTAACCATCGAGCCGTCTCGCTAGCCTGGGAGCAACAGAGAAGCTAACGTAAACCTCTGTCTGGCCTCTGTACCTCTGTTCATGGTGTATGCACCCCTGCACGTTCACACATACTCTACACAAAAAAATAAGTAGCTGGGTCTTGTGGCACACACCCTTTTTAAAAAAAAATAATTTACTTATTTTTATTTTATGTGCACTGGTGTTTCGCCTGTGTGTGTGTCTGTGTGAGGGTGTCAGGTCTTGGAGTCACAGACAGTTGTGAGCTGCCATATAGATGCTGGGAATTGAACCCAGGTCCTCTAGAAGAGCAGTCAGTGCTCTTAACTGCTGAGCCATCTCCTCATCCCTCAGTGGCACATACCTTTAATCCCAGCACGTAGGCAGCAGAGGCAGAGAATGAGTTTGACACCAGCTTGGTCTGCATAGGCCAGCCTGGGATACATAATGAGACTTCATCTCTAATAATAATATTAATTAATTAGTTAATTGACCAAAGTATTTAGGAAATGTCTGGTGTGCATCATGTGCTCGTTAAATATGGCTGTCACTTCTGTGTCAATGTGTCCCGAGTCAACAGAAGTTCTTCTGAGGAGTGGGTTGTAGTGGCCAAGGGGAGATGGCTCAGCTAGTTCATTTCCCAAGAGTCTGGGTGGCAGTCTCTACCCCCCTCGGGCTCTGTAGCCCCACCCTCCAGTCTCCTGTCTCCATGACTCAGTGGGCCTTCAGCCCCTCCAGCCGCCAGCCTGTCTGCCCAGCTCTCACGCCTGATGCAGAGATAAGCCCATGCAATGATAGCATTGTTTCCTACTTCCCCCGAGGTTCTCAAGTGTGACCCTAGATGATGGGATTAGCCAGGCATTCTGACAGTTCAGGATTGGAAGGCCAGAGAGAGGCTGTTTCCAAGCTGGCCAGGCCCTAGTCCTCAAAAGCAATGTAGGTAGCTGAGTTTAGAGGTGAGGGTCAGGGAACAGCTGTGCCCTGAGCTTCTGGAACATTCTGTCAGCCTCAGATAT